TAAAGCACTCCTTTCACAACACGTCCCTTGCCCTGCTGGCCATGCTTTGCCTGATGCCCCCCAGCCCATGCTTGGGCCTCCTGGCTGCCAGAGCACTGCTGACTCATATTCAGCTTGCCACCAAGCAGGACCCCCAGCTTTCCAGGATCTCATTCCCCAGCATGTTCCCTACATGTAGGTTTGCCCCCTCCCAGGTGCAGAATCCAGCACTTTCCATTGTTGAACTTCCTATGGTTGGTGATGGCTCAGTCCTCTAATGAGTCGAGGTCTATCAGCAGGGCCTGCCTGCCTCTGAGGGAGACAAGAGCTCCTCCCAGTTTTGTGTCACCTGCAAACTTGCTCAGTGTCCCTACCAGTCCTGCATCCAAGTCTTTTATGAAGATCTTGAAGAGCACAGGGCCTCAGAAGTAGCCCTGGGCAACCTGACTAGTGACAGGTCACCAGCGTGAAGTTCTCCTGGTCCCTAGTGCCAACTGTGCTTGACCCGTAAGCCAACTGCTCACCCACAGCAGGCTGTGTTTCTCCAGAAGTGTACTGGAAACTTGGTCCTGAAGGATCGCATGAGAAAAGGTATAAAAAGCGTTATTGAAATCCCCAAACATTTGACGGGAAGCCAAATGGCCGGAGCTGAGCTGGTGCTGTGGTGCCACTTGTCAGACTCAGGTGGAGGCACAGCAAGCAGGGCAATGTCCTCTGCAGAAGTTACGCAGCTCTGCAACTCTGTCCTCATGGTGACAGGCTTTTCCTCACAAGGATGGACATGGGACTGACTGGGACTGCCCACTTTGGCAAGAAGATCCCCAGGGAGGACCTGCCTGGTAGCTTTGGAATTGGGGTGATGATGCCCAGAACCAAACGCTGCTGAGAGGAGTGGTGCTCAGGCTGGGGCGTGTTGATGAGTGATGTGTCTCTGGTGGCTGTGACATCACAGCAGACAGGTCACAATGGGAGCTGTCCCTAAGGAGCAAAGCAGGCAGCCCCAGGGCAGTTGGACTTGGGCGATCAGTGAGTGCAGATGCAGGGGCAAGGCTGGGATGGATGGGGGAGGGGGAAGATGCCCAGGGGGGTG